ACATTCATAATCTCATAACAGAAAATTCATAATTTGATCAAACGCGCGTCGTTAACTCCACATCCACGATTTTTTTATTTTTTATTTACCTAAAAACGACGTCGTTTGGACTTGTGTTCACCATTCTCGGTGAACACGTTTTCAGGGCATAATTTGCCGACTACCTTAGCCAAGGCCGGTTCATATATGAAATCAATTGTTATACCATTAAACAAATTCATCTTACATTGTGGATCATGATTTTAAAAATTGTGTATTTATTAATATATTATGTTCCTGCAGACTGCAACTAATTGTTTATGTACTTGTAAATAAATTAAAGGTACATAATATATTAATTACAGACACATGATTTTTGAATTAGAATACATTTCACAGTTGCCGGTCGCCAATGTTTGTCACTGAAATGTAGTCGGAATAGCGTCAGAGGGTGCCGGAATCCTAGCTAGTGTCGTGTTATTGAAGGTTACTAATCGATTTTTGGACTTCAATGCACAAAAATAACATATTATTGAGTTTAATTACAATTTTTAAATGTTTAATGGTCTAATTGACTTTTTAGTAAAGTTTAAGTAACTATTTGATCATTTTCCCAAGATTATATAACATGTACAAGGGAGGATTAATTCTTTATGTTAATATTAATGATTATAAGTGTTAAACTTGCATGTTGAATAAAATTGATAGAAATTCTATTTCAAGTGTGACTATAGAATTTACTAATTTAGTAATTTACATTATATTGCTTGAATTAATACATAGCGATTTGTGTGATTTTCATAGTACATTATGCTTAGGGAATAAAAAATTATGTGTCACATTAATTGATCACTTTCCTAGAGATTGCTATGTATATCTATTACAGTAAGGATGAAAACTATATAAAATTTCAAAATTTTTAAGTTAGAGATTTAGAGGTTGAATTGCAAACTAGTCATTTGATTAAAAAAGTTTAGAAAATATAGGTAGTGAATATTATGATCCTGATTTTTTTTTTATTATATTGATATTGTGCAGGAAACTTGATAGTTATGTAATTAGTGCATTTTTGAATGCATGAACCTGGACACTTTTTGAGGAAGATTAACTTGGAAAATATGGATATATAATAATCTTTATCCTTATTATTATTATTAGAGTATAATAAGTTTTCCATTCCACTAGCTCTTACACTTTTCAATTTTCTATTCTTTTCTTTAAACTTTCTTTTGAAGACTTCAATGGGAGGGAAAACAGTGGTGTTGGGTGGAGACTTTAGATAAATTCTACCCGTTATTTCGAAAGGTACTAGACAAGATATAATACAAGCCAGCATTAATTCATCTTAATTATGGAATAATTGTGAAGTTCTTCGTCTAACAAAGAATTTAAGATTGCGTGGTGTTACTAATGAAGACGATGTTGAGAAGTTAGATAGTTTTGCCAAGTGGATTGCGGATTTAGGTGATGGTAATCTTGGTGAAGACAACGATGTTGATTGCAATATAATAATGCCTTCTTCAATTGTATTAGAAAATGAGGTTGATCCTATCAAACAAATTGTTGAAAGCACATTCCCTCAATACCGTTATGGCAATTTGGATGAAAGACAATTAGAGAATAGAGCTATATTAGCTCCAACATTAGATGTTGTTGACGAAGTCAATGAATACATGAATGATATTAATCAAGCTGCATCAAGGACATATTTGAGTTGTGATTCTGTTTCCAAGGCTAAGGCAAACTTTGATATGCAATCTCAGGTACACACAACAGAATTTTTAAATAGCTTGAGGTGCTCAGGTGTACCAAACCACTCTTTAACGCTGAAAATTGGAACTCCAGTTATGCTGTTGAGAAATATAGATCACTCGATGGGGTTGTGCAATGGTACAAGGTTAATAGTAACACAATTGGGAAATCATGTTATTGAGGGGAAAATCATAGCTGGCAATAACGCAGGTACAAAGGTTTTGATACCAAGGCTATCTTTGACTCCTTCAAACCCAAGACTTGGTCGTGCATCGCACGGGTGCAACTACTAGTTTCTACAATAGTGATGAGTTTTTACACTTTTCAATTCCACTAGCTCTTACACTTTTCAATTTTCTATTCTTTTCTTTAAACTTTCTTTTGAAGACTTCAATGACTGGGCTCTAAACTCATTGTTTCTAGCTATAGACTATTGAAGCTCGGTTCATTATTTCTACAATAGTGTTGAGTTTTTATTGTTCTTAATTTTGCCAAAAATGGTAAGTACTCTCATGATTAGGATATAATCCTTTTTAAAAATAATGAACATGAATGGACTCTTCAATGGATGCTCATAATATCTTAATCAGTCTCAATGTATGGAGTCATGGTTGAATAGAATTAGTTGGCGTTTCGTTGGGGACTTCAGTACTTTATTAACAAATTTGCTATGCATTACCATGTTTGTTGGTTTACTTTTGCTATTCTACTATTAAATCCATTAGTAATTATAAAATTCATTACCCTTCAATTCTCTTCCCCTACTTTTGAATAATGGAATAAAAAAGAGTTAATTCCATTTGTGATCCTAGATTTATAGGTAGTACTCAACTTTTAGTCCTTTTTTATCAGAACATCCCCTTTTGGTCCTAGTATTATTGTGACGTGACCAATTTTGATCCTCTATCAACAAAATCGTTGAAATTTTGTTAAATAGAATGTCATTTTGATCTTTTTAATACAAAGTGCGTAGACCCGTTATTATTATTATTTTTATGTTTATTTTTTTGAAAAAAAATCATAATTGAAGAGCGAAATGCCCTTGTATTTAATAAAATTTCAACAATTTTTTTTATAGACCAAAATTGTTCATGTCACAATAATACTAGGACCAAAAGAAGATGTTCTAATAAATAAATAAATATAAATAAAAGTGAATTGTCACATATAAATCTAGGACAAAAAGATGAATTATATAACTCTAGGACAAAAAGAGGAATTAACTCGAATAAAAAATAAGAAAAATAAAATAAAAACGACATTGTCCATGCATTAAACATGGAACTATAATACACAGACATGTATATGTATTATATATTTACTCCGTATTTATTTTTATTTTAATTAATTACTCCATATTTATTTATTTTAATTTCAATTCTTATTTACTAGCAAACAAAACGACTTCTTCTATTTAAACTTATTACCATTACTAAGTATTTAATTTCAATTATTATTTTTATTCTAATGTTTGAACAAAATGCCTTCTTAATTAAGTTCTCATTATACAAAAAATATTAATTTCAATATGTACACAATTACATACAGTGAAAGAGTGTGTTCTCTTTAATTTGAATAAATTATTAGTTTAATATAATTATCGAATATCAATAAACAAGTGCATGTTACACTAATCGGGCGAATGTTTCACGTACATGTCTTCATGAAAGGGAAAAAAATTGGAAAACTGGCCCATGCAGGTCTCGAACCTGCAACCTTCGCGTTATTAGCACAACACTCTAACCAACTGAGCTAATAGGCCATATATTTTAAATTTTAAACTTTATTTATTTATTGAGATAGACAGTGGTGGAGGCGCCTCTTGTCTGTGATTTGAATGGGGAGGCCATTGATGCCTCCTTAATTTATTAGTGTGCTAAATAAAAAATATTTATTATATTATATTAATCAAAAAATAATTATATTATATTCATAAATCTATAAATATTAATACGAAATTATTATTTAAAATAGAGAAAATCAATGTTTTGATCCATCAATTGTTTTGCATTTGTCAATTCGTCCATAATTTTTAATTTGATCGAATTGACCCTCCAATTATTTTAAATTTCGTCAATTAATTTCCTTAATCACTATTTTATCAATCAGTCGTTAGTTACCAAAATAGTGATTAGTGAATTTAATTAACGAAATTTAAAACAATTAGAGAGTCAATTTGACCAAATTAAAAATTATGGACTAAATTGACAACTGCAAAACAATTGAGGAACTAAAACAATTATTTTCCCTTTAAAATATTATATTATTAATAGTTAACAATTATTTTATAATTAATACTCCGTAATTTTTATAGTTAATGAATTGTTTTCATAAAATATGCATGCCTTTGTCTTTTTACATGTTAATAGCTAATTTTACTAAACATTCTTTTTGTAAATTGTTAAAATAATCTGGTGGTAAAATACGCTAACACAATTTGACATCCGTTACCGGCCAACAAATCCACTAACCGCTGATTGCCAAATAATGTCGTAGTAGTGGATATGTAAATGATATAAGCAATGGTGGTGATGTGAAGATAAATAAATAAGGGTGATGATAGAGTGAGAAGACAATAATAAAGGTATATACATAGGTAGGTGGGTAGATATATTGGTAAATAGATAAGTGAAATTTTTAAGTAATGGTAATAATGGTTATAAATGAAATTATATGTGTTTTTGTATTTGAAAAAAGTCTAGAAAACAACTTTAAGAAAAAAATTGAAATCCTTTGTTGGTTGGAAAAAATGAACTTTTTTCATAAACAAATTCACGCACACTTGGAAGTTCTAAACTTGGGTTACAAGTGGGTTACAACATACATTTCACCTCACTCAAAATTACATATGAAGATTAAACGTTACTAAATGTTAATAGTGTCATGGTTTCATAAGACAAGGTTCTATGCACAACCCTCGGTAATAAAGCCAAACACAAATAGCCTCATGATAATACGAAAATACAACACTCTAGGACATATGCCAAAAAGCCTTCATCAAGAGCGATAGGGCAAAACAAAACAAGAACTCATAGTAATAAAGATAACCCAAAGTGATGAAGAGAATACAATAGAACATTACAACGTCTAGAGAATAAGAATAAATTGGGAATAAAATAGAACACCAATTAGTTTATTATGGTTACACTCCCCATTGACATTTGAGAAATAAAATATAGTAGTGCTGAAATGACATAAATACCCTTGAGAAATAAATTTCGCACACTCAAAATAAAGAAACATGGTAATAATAAAATTGAACAGCCTTAGAAAAAACTCAACAGACTCAAAAAGCTTCTAAATCTTACCAAAACAATTGAAGAATGGCAAAACAATGATTTGAAAATTTCCATTGAAAAAAGGCATCGCCGGTAGTCGCACACACTGATGTGTGACATTGGAAGGAAAGATCATTAAACAAGCTTGCAAAAAGTGACAATGGGTATAATTAAAGGACAAAAAGTACTATTTTCCTATAATTCATGGACTAAATTTGCCATTTCTCATTTTTAAAGATAGACTAAAGAGAATAAAACAAATAAAATGAGACGAAAAGAGTGGCTAAACTAACATCCTCACAGATGATGCAATGGCTTGCAACTCATCTGCAGTAACTTTCTTCCACTCACCACCAATCATCAGACATCCTTCTATACCTGCTGCAGATGTGTCATCTAATTCATGGCTGCTTTCTGTCTCTGCTCTCATTTTCTTATGATGGGAATTGTCTAAACATTCAATAGCAGATTCAGCCACCCTCTTGCTGTGATTTTCATTTGATAATTGGCATTCTTTTGGATTTGATGATTTGGAAACTTCAGTGCAATTAGCATTGCAATCAAGAATAGGTAAGCGGCCTGAAGAACTGAAAGCATGAGGTATCATACCTATAGGGCATGGTCTCCAATTATCTGTGACAACCCATTGTCTACGAACACCGGCATGGTTTTGAGTTTTGTTTACCTTGTTGCTCTTCATTGATTTTAGTTTAATCAACTGAAGCTTCTTTCCAGCTTGACTAAGGGATTCTTCTTGCCTGGAGAGGAAGCTTTCTGAATGTACATTAGGAGAGTCTGATTCATTAACATCTGCACCAAATACGCTCAGCAAAGAGAGCGTTTTAAGTTTATTAAGTAAAGAGTTCTTCCCCATTAGACGTGCAAGAACTATGGATGAAGCCATCAGTTGCTTGTTGCCATGAGAGGACAACACGAGGCATTTGCATAAAAGGTCCTGTAGGGTAGCCTTTGCCAGAATTTGGTCATTTGAAGAATCTCCAGTTTCTGATACAGATCTTTTCTCATGTACATGCCTCAGGGTCTTCAGATTTTCAATTAACCATTCAAACAGGTAAGAAAGCAGTTGAATTTGGCGAGGCACTGTTACATTATCCAATGAATGGCAGTCACCTAATCAAGATCCAGAGTCCAGACAATGAAAATAAACTAAAATCAGTATAATGACAAAGCCCTTACGAACCACCAAAAGAAAAAAGAATATAGAAAAACAAAAAATAAAGAACAATTCGAAAGATGACATAAAACGAATACAGATCTACCCTCTCATCATCTTCCTGCTAGTCACAAAAATCCTCACTATACTCCAAAATAGGAAGCAACCCTGAGAAGTGTTCAGGCTCCTATATGGCAGCTATGGATAAGTAGTTACTTACCATTTAGCAATTCTGTGGCTGAATGTATCTCAATTTTATCAAGGATTCCTCTAAGAAGTGTAATAAGCAAGTCTGGTGCTTTATTAGACAATTTTGTGATGACTGGTTTCCAGTGATCAAATACAGCATGCATAGTAATGTTTCCTTGGATAGTTTGACCAGAATCTGATCCATCAGCTAAATGCGAGGAATCTAATGCCTTAAGCAACAGTTCCAAAAGCACTGACAACACTTCTGAAGACGACGAAGAATACAACCGAAGAATATTTTTCAAAGATTTGGTAACCTGTTTCTTAGGACCTGAAACATACACCAATACAAAGGGCAAAAATTATAAGCATCTGTAAAACATATGGAGACATTTTCCAAAGGCAATAAGCAGAACAAAGTCCAGTCTGCATGCCCAAACAAACAGATATTATAATACAACCTTGCTTGCCTAGACCAACATTTCATTGATTATAAGTAAACATAAAAAGAGAGATCACAGACCAGTTGATTATAGCCAAGTTGATAGCAACGGTACTTTGTACTGGAGAGCAGAATAGCTTTTAAACAATCTCTAAATAGTTTGCATCTCTCATTGAGATTGCAAGGCTACATATATGTCTTTCTAATTAACAATGGAATAGCAGGTCTATAGGAGTATAGGTGACACTGCCTCACAAACAGTGAAATGGGGTGTACTTACCCCCAAAATAAATAAATAAAGTAAAAAGGAGTAAGACACACCAAATTAACTTTTTTCCAGCAAAGGGGTTAATGGATGCATAAATTCTCTGCAAGAATATATCTCACAGTGATAGCTATTGATTATACATAGAGCAAAAACCTTTGCAATTTGAAAATAACATGTCAACACTGAATTTGGAAAATTGGGATTTCAAAATTCCAAGTTTCTGCAATGCCATGTATTTTTTCATTTCCTTCTCTTCAATGAAGTTGATTTTCCCATATCCTTATTTGCACCCAAATTCTTCTTCCAATCATCAATTCAACCTCCATATAACATGCATATATAGGAAGAACTCATTCTTTGGTTCCTAGACGTGTATATTAATCATTTATAATACAATGTAATATTGGAACTTTAAATCATACCACAAAGCTCTGTAATCGTCAAAGCTTGTACAACAGACATGGTCCTAAAATATATATTCCACCTCGAATGAAAGATTAGCTATTACTCCAATTAGTGAGGATACACATTTACTATTTTATATGTATCCTCAACATGTCCCCTCACATGTGAGAAGATTCTTGTTTTTAATGGGCTAACCATGTGGAAATATTTTGATGATGTATGGCATGTAAAAATTCAAATCCAGGACCATTTGTTTGCTTAATTACATGTTCATCTTAACTATATGCTTAAGCTATTAATGAAGATACACAATTAGTATTTCATATTCATAGTCAACCAGTCCAATAACTTAAATGCACTAGGCAAGTACAATAAATTTGAAAAATCCAGCAAAAAATTCCATTTAGCACTGTAGCAAACTGAATAAACAATCCCATAAAATATTTAACTTATAGAATAACCTGATGATTTAGAAAATGAAAGCTTCCCAGCTACAAAAGGAAGAAATTTGTTGAATCCATAGAGTTGACCTGGATGTCTAACAGTAATACCTGTTGAAGTGCATTAAAGTCACTCAAATAAAAACATTGGCACTAAACAAACAGAAATCATGGCAGCATTTCCAGGAACAAATCAGGGAGAAATGAATCATTATAATGCAACAAGCCATCATGGAAGTGGTTGAAGATGTATCAGTTAGTTTCATGCAGGAAATACTTCCCTTCAGCTACATTGTTTCTCCCTTTGTGATTGCTTATGTGTTTTTGATGTTCTGACTAAAAACCATAACACAAATGATCAAAATAGTATCAGTCAGTTTCATGCAGGAAATACTTCACTTCAGCTACATTGTTTCCCCCTTTTGTGATTGCTTATGTGTTTTTGATGTTCTGACTAAAAACCATAACACAAATGATCAAAATATTCAGACATTGAAGTAATTATTTATCGAGCTAGATTTTACTAAAATCAACCACCAGGTTGGGGACATCTTCACTCCTTAAGAAGGCCTTAATTATTAGTGCACCATAATAGCAGAACTGCCTATATGGCGTCCTCTTAGGAGGTCTTCACTTCTCTTAAGACTTCTTTTCAATCTTCACAGTGATGAGCATACAACCACAAAACCCAAAATGTTGGGCACAACATTAAATCAATCTAGCCCTTAGTGTATTTTATATGCACCATATTCTAGCCACCAAATATTATCACAATAGAGATGTCCAATTACTGCAGTTCTTTCAGGAGGATTTTCAATTTAACACCAATACTGATTGCACAGGGAAGGACCCATGATTTTTTGTCAACTAAGGTAACCAAATGCAGGCAAATACTTGGCATGTACAAGTTTTAATATGCTTCATTTAAATATAGCAAGGCTTAAGCCATACAACCATTAAATGTCATATAAAACTGAATTTGGATTCTGTGAAAATGAAACTATGTTATGGCCACAATCCCATCAAGCTGATTTCTGGCATCAATAGATTTTGATATGCCACTGCATGCTTCTTAGATCTTAGACATCAGCATTTCTAGTGGTCCATCGAATGGAAATAGTAATTGTCCACAATTTTATGAATTCCAGAAGTAGCGGGACAAAATTGATCAAAATTCAAGAATATGAACCAAATTGAACAAAGTCTAACAATATAGAGACCTCCCAATTACTTTAACCAAACAAAAAATTCAGACTTAGCATAAAGAGAGTTAGGTGGAAATGTGGAATTCTAACTTTTATGCAATATCAAAAAAGATATGTGAAAATTACTTCGTAATCACAACTTAACAAATAAAGACAGCAAAGTTGGGTTGTAATATCTATCAACATCAAACTTCACACTTTATATATGGGAGTTAGGTGGAGGCGTGGAGTTCTAAATTCTAATCTTGTGCAAGATTAGTGAAAGATATCTTAATTAATACAACATGATAAATACTGAAGCTTTACTTACGGTTTTCCTTGGCAAAAGAACTTGATCTGGCAGTCTGTTTTTCTTTCAAACAATAAGCCAATTCATTTAATCTGTCCCTTGTTTCCTTCTGAAGTTTGGTGGGTTGACCGCTCTGAATAGCGCTTTTTTGAGGCTCCCAGTAATATGATTGCAACCAACGAAGTGCCTGAAATCATTTCATCACATTTAGAATACCATGAGAACAGCTGAGCTTTTAAATAATTATAGAAATATGAAAAAGTAGTAACAACAGCAGGAACCAATAATGAAGATATCCCAAAGATACTTTCTAATCTAGGAATTTTTCTCTTACAGGTATTCAATTGCTTGGTTAGGTGATCATTTCTTAAACCATATACAGTTAGGACATGGGTACAAGTCCTATTACCAACTTGGAAACAAACCCTGCATGATGCAGAGTTCTGCACAATGACTGGAAACAAAAGATTTGCACTTCTCAAATGAAACCCTTCACTCTTTATAATTTGAATTTCTATTTCCAAATATGTGCCCCCTCCCCCCAATCACTCCAAACAATACAATTAGAGATTAAACATTTTGTTTAAATTGAATTAGACCTGGGGAAGTACCAGCATAAATATTTAAAAAATAATAACAAAACTCATATATAGCAAAGGTGTTTAACTGATCCAATTACATCAAAGTTGAAACTTGGTCAAATTTAGGAAACACATTCTTGTAACTATGAACAAAAACATATATTTAAAATTGTAAATCTCAATAGTATAATCGTTATGCAGAATACAAAAGAATGTGTGTCAAACAAGGAACCATAATGATAATAGTATTAATGCTGAAACAAATACTAGCTGAATGAAGTCTTAATCTCTTAAATTTATTTTTTTTTGGAAAGGCAAAATTATTTCTTTCTTGGTTTATGGCCTTAATATCTACGGAGTAATTTTCATGTTGAGTAACATGACTAATTTCTTTTATTATCCCTAGTTATCAAATCAAATAGCACAGCATCACAGCATTCCATACATCTTCACTATACATAATGCTCACTACTAGCTATGCACAATCAATTAGGTTTTGGAGGAAAATCAAGCATATAGTTTGACATCAAATAATCTATTACATAGAACTTTTCGGTACAAGGTGTCATGGTTTATGTAAATGTACAGCATCAGTTCTTTGCTATTCATTAAATTCTTATATCGATCCCAGACAGGTATCACTTATGCATAGCTCAAATAAAGTTATGGACTTCAAATCTTGTAAGATGTAGTCTGCCTATTTCTCAATTTTCCCTTAAAAAGCACCACTTATGCCAAGCTCAAAGTTATTTCTATGGTTCTTTCTAACAACTCAAACTGCACTATCATTTCACTTAAAAAGTAGTTACCAGGGTTCACTAATTACATTTGACATTAGAAAAGAATTGAGAAAACAACAAGTGCTTTAGTTCATGCACATCAAGAACACATGGTGACAAACAATCTGCATAGGTCAAACGGCCATGGATTTTATTTATATAACCATGACTGGTATAAAGAAGAAACTGTAATAATAGAACACATAGTGACAAACAATCTGCAAGGTCAAATGCCAATGGGTTTCATTTATATAACCATGACTACTATAAAGAAGAAACAGTGATAATAAAACACATAGTGACAAACAATCTGCATAGGTCAACTGCCTATGGATTTAATTTATATAACCGTCACTACAGTAAAGAAGAAACTGTGATAATAAAACGCATAGTGACAAACAATCTGTAAACTTGCATAGGTCAACCAGCTATGGATTTTATTCATATAACCATGACAACTATAAAGAAGTACTGTACAATAAAATGGCGACTCAATGGAAATGGAGTTATGGACAATGAGAAAAGATTAATATAGAAATTGCATATACCTTTGTAGAGGCAAGGCGGACCAACTGGAGTGAAGGAAGATCACGATGAGAACCCTCTGAAAGTATGTATCTCAATTAAAAATCCAAATTTCACTCGTATCATAAAACAATTAGGAAACAAGGTGAACAAATGTATGCTAGCACAATGGTTTAGTCTAAACATGCACTTACAAGAAACTACAGTTACTTAAATGTAATATTTGTAAATTCATGTAAATCTCTTATCTACAATTGAATGCTTCCTTTTGTACAACATGCCAACATATTTAGTTATTTACAAAAAACTCAAGAATAATTGATCATAAACTTTGCAAAGGGTTTATGCAGAACTGCACACCGTGGCGGACATCAATCAGCATACGGGGAATGCCAATTGCATAAGCTGCCTCAGCTATTGAAAGCTCGTTCTTCTTGCGGTTCTTCTCAATAACTCCATTTACTAACCTTGAAAGACAACATAAAATATAATAATTGATTTATCCCCAAGTTACAAAATAGAAAAGCATATGTATTTTAGAAGGAGAACAAAAAAAATCACAATGTCATGAAGCATAAACTACTTTAAGTTTCGTCTCAAAAAGAAAACCCTAAAATGAAAATCAGCTCCACATGAGTAATTAACATTTAACCATTGAACATAAAATGAAGTTTACTAATACTTTTACAGTACAATACTTCAATTTTCAGAAAAAAAAATTCAGAACATAAAATTTAACAAATGCCCTAGAGAATTAATGGTACAATAGTTTACTAAAGAAAATTTTACTGGTATTCCTAAGGAGTTAAATCAAGATGCAGAATTTCATAACTTAGGATCAATGTGGGGCATCTGCCTATCCTATTAAGATGGGATGGGATATTGGTCATTGCATTGATGATAAAAGAAAATGTGGCATGTAAAACAGAATAAAAATGTAGAATTTCTGTCATGCCAAAGGAAAAAAAAAAAACAAATACCTGGTAATTGCCATAGAATATAGCATAGCCAGCATTTCTTCCGATAGCTGCACACTTTTGGGTACATCATCTCTACAATAATGGGTCAGGAAAAAATAAAACAACAATAGGAATAATTTTATTTGGAAGCTCATTTCATCATTACTACAAATTAAACAAAAATAATAAGTTACCTGAAATATGGATCTTTCTGCTGAATTTCGATGATTGAAGCGGTAACATCGACAGCGACTGGAATGCATCCTCTGTTCCTCCAAGTCGAAATCTACAAAGATCCAAACGTATCCAAATACTTAAGTTTTTAAGCACAATCATTTATCAAATGCATCAATGAAGAAAATGAAAATGAAAATAAAAATAAATAAATAAATAAAACCTTTCATTACCCTTCTAAGTGCAGAATCAACGGAAAGCGGAGAAGAAGAGAAAAGGGAATCTCCAATGAAACTCCACTCTTCCCAGGTTAACCAAGGCACCAACTTCAAGCCCTGTGATTTTTGATCCTCAACGTCGTTAAGGTATGACTCCTTAAACCCTAACAAAGACTCCATTGTCAGGATTCAGTAAACTGGATTCAGCCATTCAGGGTTTAAAGTGAAGTGGGCGCTTCAGTATTCAGTTTCAGTTTGTTCAGTTTTAAAAAAATGAAACCATTCAGTTTAACATTATAGTTCAGTTCGGAATTAGTTCGGTTCGGTTTAGGAACCCCAATTCTCAACGTTTCCTAATTTTCTAGCGCAAAGCTGCAAATTATTATTTTATTTATTTTTACTAATAATTTAAATTTCAAAATATAAATAAACCAAATAAGTGAAACATTTCAAATTTTCCCAAGTCTCAACTCCAAATTCTAAAGTCTAAACTCTAAACATTACATAACAAAATAGCAAAATCAAACACACTACCAATTACCAAACATCTCATATTCACATGGTCCATTTTCCCAAATCCACTTGCAGTGTTCGGTTGGCTCACTTGTAGTGTTCTGTTGACAAGATGAAGAACCATCCATCTCTGTAATTAATATTTGGAGAACAAGAATCATTAAAACAATAATATTTTAAGTATTCAACAATTGAGCAATTAAAAACACAAAGTAAAAAAAAAAAAAAAAAAAAAAAGAGGCAGTGTTGAACTGGAATTCCATTTCAGTGCTGCACTGGAATTCTGGATTTTCATTCCAGTGCTGCACTAAAATTTCATTCCAATTCCAGTGCAAGCACTGGAATGAAATTCGAATTCCAGTGCTTGCACTAGTATTTCAATATTGAAAAAAAAAAAACAAAACAAAAATTTCATTGCCAAATAACTCAAATGCAATGTTCAAGCTTCAACTCAATCAAGGCTAGAAAATAAAAATCAAGCAATTGTCACTTTTTCAGTCTTCTTCGACACTCAAGGCAGCCAAGGCTCAAGCAATTAGAAATCAAAAATCAAAATTTCGAGATTCGAACTTGGAAGACAGAAAAAATCAAAAAAAAAAAAAAAAAAAAAAAAAAAAAAAAAACAAGTAAGAAATCGGAGGAGGAACTAGGAAGAGTACCTTTCGTCAGAAATCCTGCGGTGAGCGAGTGACTGGTCCGACAGTGAGCGAGTAATGGTCACGGCAGCAGGCGAAGTGGCGGACTGGTCCGGCGAGTCGACGACGAGCTTAGTGCTGAGCTCTGTTGAGTCTGGTCAGTGGTCGGTGGTCCGGCCAGGGGGCGACCGGCGACTTCAGCTTGGAGCTTTGGGCGACGAGGAGTTAGGGTATTATGGCTTTCACGACTAGCAGTTCAGGGCTTCAGCGGACATCATTAGAATAATAGAATCCTCAGATTATTATCATTAGGAAAAATGGTAAAATAAATTCCTAAAATATACTTTTTTTTTTTTTTGAAGTTGTTGTCTCTATTACATTGTATAATCTACTTCTATCTATCTACTATATTAATAAGAGCCCAAGAGAGTTAGGCCTATAATAGGTATAAAAAATGGCGAAAAATGGCGGTCACAGATTTTAATCAAATGAATGGCTCAGATTGATTAAAAGATTGATCAGATTTAAATTTTACACTAAAATTTCCTAAAATACCCACACACCGTTACTAATTCAGTTAAAATTTTAAGAATTGTCGTTAGTTCACCGTTAACTTACTCATTGATTTCAATAATAAAAAAAAAAAGTCTTAAGTTCGAACCTCATCCCAATCAAAGTTGGCATATTTAGTACTCTATTTTACTCTTATTAAATTATATAAATAATAATTTAGTAGTTACAACAAAAAATAATACATATGCATTTCTTTAATTTAGAATTATGTGTCCATAATGCCTTTATTCAAAAAAAAAATATTCATTATCAATAAATTAAATAAGAGAAATAATTTTATTAGTTATATTGTCTTTATTTTTCTTCAATATAAAAATTCTTTATATTCAAATTTATTAATTGATTATATTCGCTACATTGTCCTTACAATGTCTTTATTCAGTGAAAAAAAAATTATTAATTATCAATAAATTAATTAAAAGAAATATTTTCATTAGTTATATTGTCTTTATTTTTCTCAAATGTAAAAATTTTTACATTCAAATTCATCAATTGATTATATTCACTACATTATCTATTATCTTTTTTGTGCACTATTTTTCTAATTAAATATCAAAGTTATAATACAAAATAATGCTATATATTTATTTATCAAGTATTTTATTAATACCATGAAAAAATTAAAAAAATATATAATTAATAAAGCCAACCATATTAACTACTTGAGAGATTTTGTGACAAAGAGAGTATTCAAATCACACAACAAATTGAAGTGAGAACTACCTCGCAATGTCCTTGTTTGACAATCAGCGGTTAGCGTTAGCGGATTATACTAGCGGATTTGACCAACGAATTTATTCAATTATTAACATTGTAGAAAAAATGACCGCTAAATTATTAAAAATCAAATGAATGGTTCATATTGTTCAGGTTTTAATTTTTTTCTTTTAAGATTTTCTAATTTATCCTTAATTATATGATTATCCATTTAACTTTTCCGTTAATTCACCGTTAGTCTAATTCTAATATTAAAGTCTAATATAGAATTATAACTACATCATTAATCTAATTCTAATATTAAAGTCTTAATAGAACTTAACCACAAATCCTAATGTCGGAATCTTCTCAAACAATATTAGTATATATTTAATATTTTATGCCCTAATTTTTATTTGTTCTCCCTTATGTCCCGTATTTGGTTTTAACTATACCTATACAATTATTTTATTGACAATTATAATCAATCTTGACTATATTATCTTGCATTTGTAAACTTAGAATTATCTATTTAACTCGCACGGGCTTAGCTCAATGGTTTAGTGGGTAGTATTTGGGAGAAGAGACCAAGGTTTGAACCTCGGCGGCGGCAGTGCGGGAATTATGTCCAAAGTGGGCAGATTCCTTGTGCGTATCAGCATTTGGCCCTGTCTACTGAACCATTAAGTCACCGTGATTTACAACTTTACACAATGCTCTGTCGGGTCGGAGTGTAAGTCACCGTGATTTACAACTTCCCACAATGCTCTGTCGGGTCGGAGTGTGGGGGGCCCTTGGGGTTGGGGACTCAACCTTTGGGAGAAGAATTACCTATTTAAATACGCAAATTCAACCTTCAATTATCTATGCATGAACAATTTCAATATAATCCTGCCTTAATATACTTTAAAGTACTTATTTAACAAAAAAAGCATTGGGCATTATCCCAATCGCGCAATGCGCGTAAAAAACTAGTATAACTATAACTATGACCTCTCATATAAAAGAGTCACTACATATTATTAAGCACAAAGTGCTTGGCTATTATTATTATTATTATTATTATTATTATTATTATTATTATTATTATTATTATTATTATTATTATATTATTTTAAAAAAAATAAACGGTGTTCGTTTCGACATATTAAAAAGTATTACCAATCGGTGTTTTGGTATTACACTGAATCGAACCAGTTTGGTTCGGTTTAATTCAATTTTTCTGAATCAAACTGTCTACTCCTAATTTAAAGCATTAAATCTGGACATATTAAATAAAAATAACCCGTCTATGACGGGTCGGGTTGACCAACATCCTATGGGAATTGGTATGGTTAGGCTATGTTCAGCTGATAAAATTCTGACTTTAAAAAATAAAAATAGTTAATTTCAAGACTGAACCCTTGACTATTGACATTTATCAATTTCTATCTCCGACTTTTAATTGTATCATAAATGGTAACTTAACTATTGACATTTACCAATTTCCATCTTTGACATTCAATTTAACCATAAATGGTCTCTTGACTATTTATTTTGTTTCAAATTTGGTCTTCTAGACTCTAGTTAAATATCATTTTAATAAACATTAAATTTAAGGGTAATAATGTAAAAATTTTAGTTCTTCATAATCCAATAATGATGAACTCAATTCAATGTATAAAATTTATGAACTCAATTTGTCCATCTCAACAACAAGTCAATTTTAAATTATTATTCTTAAATTTAATGTTTACTAAATGGATAATTAAAAGACCAAATTTGGAACAAAATCAATAATTAATGGAATATTTATGATCAAACTGAAAGTCGAAGATGAAAAATTAGTAAAGATCAATAGTCAATGGACCATTTATGGTCCAATTAAAAGTCAAATGATAAAATTAGTAAATATCAATAGTCAATGGACCATTCCTAGAATTAGTAAACAGGCTGAGGGTATGCGGTTGGCATTGGGGGGGGGGGGGGGGGGGGAGGGGTACGGATATGCCGGGGCATGGAACCTAGGTGAACCTTGCCACCATTGGAAGGTCGGGTCTAAGACAATTACTCGTGTGACCAGATATGAATATGGGATTTGACCTTAAGTATTTAGGAATTGGTGCCCCTGATTAATGACATTGATTAGGTTTGAGGGAGTTATACCCTCCATTAGTGCTTGGTTGAGGTCGACGTGAGGCCTAAGCCTTGATTGAAGATTGGAGGAGTTGTTGTCAAAGTCCGCGTTGTTGAAGAAATCAAAATACGAATATATATTGGATATCGATAAAACATAAAGTACGGCTTATTCATGTTGGTCCCCATAGACGATGTCAAATTGATGTTGTAAATGTTACGAAATAATCCTACGAAAATAGATTATTTCTGGAGAAAATATAACAAGCACAAGCAACGGGAAAAAGGTTTTGGGTTGTAAGTACAAATCGAGCGAAACATTATCTCCTTAAAACCTTTTTTTTTTAGTAAAGACCTTAAAACCTTATTTGCTACCTCCTAAAGGTGCTAGAAGCGTTGTATGCTGTAACCTAGGTTTCCTAGGATAAACATACTACGGCTTAATGTTTGAGCACTCAAACAATTAAACCCAACGAACTAGAATACGGGATGAACACGGGTGATTTGAGAAGAAGGAAGAGCAGAGTTTCGCGAGGAGAAAGTTTATTTTCAATGTATATAAATCACCTGCTCAACCACAACTTATATAAGAGTTGGAGGATAAATAACATTTATCATGGCATTTACACTGATAATAAAATCAGGGGAAAAAGGTCAAATAGGCCCCTGAACATTTCACGAAAAGTCAATTAAGCCCTTGAACTTTCAAAAAGTGCAATTAGATACATAAACTTACGATTTTAGTTCAATTTACCCCATTAGCAGGTTAACCATCAGGTTACTTCAGGTAAACGCCTATGTGGCAGCTTACTTGGCAAAAATGTTAATATTTTATTCGCCACGTAAGCATAAGTAAAAAAAAAATGAAAATCAATATATTATTGTTGTTGTTATTATTATTATTACGGAGTATTATTCATATATGAGTTCGGAGTTCGTAGCGACGGTGTTGCTGGAGTTCGGAGCGATGGTGCTTCTTTTTCTTCTTCTGAGTTCGGAGCTACGGTGTTTCTTCTTCTTCCATAAATGATTGCTCCAGTTCAACAACATGCTTAATACAAGGTAACAATACTTCCAACTGCGATTCCAAAGCTAGGGAGATGGATCCAAAGCTCACGGAGGTTTCTCACTCGTTCGAGCGGTTCAAAGCTGCTTTTACGCGCAACGATTTCGATACCTAACCAGATTTCTCTCCTCAAGGTAACAATACTTCCAAATGCGATTCCCATTTGAAATCCTAGTTTTTTACTCTGTAGTTCATTTATTTTCAAATTAAACTCCACTTTGTTCCCAGGCCATAAATCGTTATATTATGTTGTGTTGTTGCCTTTTGCTTTTACTTTACTTTGTTCAGCATATGGCCGATTAGCTTGAGTTTTGCTTTGAGATAATTAAAAATACTTTTGTTTGCTTACCAGATTAGGTCTCAATCTTTTGAGACTACTTGTGTAGAATATAATTGTTGAATTTCACACTGAATTGGAGTTGCTTTCTCCAAATGCCTTGGAGAATCCTTGTATTAAGCATGCTGTCAAACTGGAGCAATCATTTATAGAAGAAGAAAAAGCACCGTCGCTCCAAACTCAGAAGAAGAAGAAGAAGCACCGTCGCTCCGAACACCGGCAACACCGTCGCTCCGAACTCCGGCAACACCGTCGCTCCGAAATCCGGCAACACCGTCGCTCCGAAATCCGGCAACACCATCGCTCCGAACTCCGAACTCATATATGAATAATACTCCGTAATAATAATAATAATAATATTAATAACAACAACAATATTAATATATTCATTTTCATTTTTTTACTTATGCTTACGTGGCGAATTAAATATTAACATTTTTGCCATGTAAGTTGCCACATAGGCGTTTACCTGAAGTAACCTGATGAT